TTCTTACTATGCATTTTTTCCTTCCCTCTGCAGCTTCTTGGGTTTTTAAAAATATACATAATTAAATTTCTGGAAAAGATTAAAAACATAAAAAACAAGAAAGTGCCTCCAGAAGTTGTGAATGCCCCAACACTGGAAGTCTTTAAGAAGATGTTGGATAGCCATTTGTCTGAAGTTGTGTAGGGTTTTCCTGCCTAGGCAGGGGTTTGGACTAGAAGACCTCCAAGGTCCCTTCCAACTCTGCTATTGTATTGTATTGTATTGTATTGTATTGTATTGTATTGTATTGTATTGCATTGCATTGCATTGCATTGCATTGTATAATATTTAACTTTATATTCTAGTATGTATGGCAAAGACATTCCTAGGATGATTACACTGTCCAATGTTTTAATGTGTGTTTAATAAAAAAAACTTTTTAATTAAAAAAAGGAATGTGTCTAATGACCTTTCAAAGCTGTCCAAGGGTGCAGTTATCACATCATCTTGGCTTTGCTGAATTCCACCTTTTAATTGCTCATTGTGAGCCAAGGTATTTCTGTTATGGGTCCAGAATCTCCCAATGTTCATTTTGGTGCCTGATCTTGCGTTATGAGAAATAGAAGGGGGGAAAAAACCCTTTTATATATCTGATCAAGTTTCTTCTGGAAATTTCTTGGGGTTCCCCCCCCCCAAGTTAAAAAGTCCATAACCCTGTACGTTTACTTGATAGAGAAGTTGGACCAATCCCTTGAAAGTTTAACTGCATTTTCCCCTTGAGTTGAAAAAATGACACTAAACCAATCACAACCAGAATTTGGCAGTTTGAATCTTACCAGGCTCAAGGTTGACTCAGCCTTCTGTCCTTCCGTGGTTTGTAAAATGAGGACCCAGATTATTGGGGGTGGGGGCAAAATGCTGGCTCTGTAAATCACTTAGACAGGGCTGTAAAAGCACTGTGAAGCAGCATATAAATCTAAGTGGTATAACTTCCTTCCTTCCTTCCTTCCTTCCTTCCTTCCTTCCCTCCCTCCCAGTGGTTAGAATGCAATATTGCAGGCTAATTCTGCCCACTGCCATCAGTTCGATCCTGACTGGCTCAGGGTTGACTCAGCCTTCCATCCTTCCCAAGTGGGTAAAATGAGGACCCAGATTGTTGGGGGCAATAGGTTGACTCTGTAAATTGCTCAGAGTGGGCTGTAAAGTACTGTAAAGCCGTATACAAGTCTAAGTGCTATTGCTATTGGTATTTTGCCAACTGTATAATGTTGTAACACTTGGAATATTCAACAAGTTATTTTTTTTGGTTTCTCTTACTGGTTTTGAGAAGAATCTTGCTCAGGAAGGACTTACAAATCCCCACAATGGAAGGATGGATGGTGAAGGAGATTGATGGAGATAGAGAAATGGATTGCTTTGACTAAAGAAAAGTCTTCACCTAATTTGGTCTGTACTTGGAAACTATTTTGGGACTTTTTGCTTGAAGTTGAAAGAAACAAAATTTAAGCTTTGGGATCTGAAGATTAGAACTGTTTAGGATGATAGAACGATTGTCTACAAGGGCTAGCTTTAGAGCAAAAGATTAATACATTTTCTTTTTTCTATCTGTACTGAAGAACGTTGGAAGTTACCCTTTTTCTATATTTTCCTTCTCTTTTCTTTTCCTGCACCCCAAATTTCTTTTTCCTTGGCCTCCTTTTTTCTTAATTTTTTCATTTCCATTTCCCTGTACAGGTAGTCCTCAATTTACAAAGTTGATTTAGTGACTGTTTGAAGTTACAACATCCTTGAAAAATGATCATTTTTCACACTTACCATCATTACAGCATCCCCATGGTCGCATGATCAGAATTAATTTGCTGGGCAATTGACTCCTACTTATGACGGATGCAGCGTCCTGGGATTACATAATCCCTTTTTTGTGACCTTCTGACAAGCAAAGTCGATGGGGGAAGTCAGATTCGCTTAACAACCATGCTTCATGTTTCATTTAACAACTGCGGTGATTCACTTACAGCGGTGGCAAGAAAGGTCATAAAGTGGGTCAAAATTCACTTAGCGGTCTCACTTAGCAACAAAAATTTGCGGTTTGATTATGGTCATAAGTCACGGACTAACTGCATTTTATCTTTTGTCGAAACTTGAATAAAATCATATTTTTTTTAAAAAAAAGAGAGAAGGACTCCCGACACAGCCAACTACTACAGTTAAGTGAGTAGAGATAGATATATGACTCAATTGCAGAAAATATGACTTCGGCAACAGAGTGGTCAACGCCTGGAATGCTCTACCCGACTTCGTTGCTACAGCCTCAAACTCTCACAGCTTCAACCTTAAACTGTCTACTGTGGACCTCATCCCATTCCTAAGAGGTCCGTAAAGGGGGGGGGGGTACATAATCACACCAGCATGCCTTCCGTCCCCGTCCTACTGTCCCCATTTATCTGTATTTACTTCCTTTGTTCGTGTTTATCTTCATACCTACACTTGTTATCTTGTACATGTTTGACAAACAAACAAACAAACAAATAAATGGCATGATCTCCAATTTTAATGGGAGATTTTAGATTTAGATTTTAGATTTTATTTATTATTTATAGGCCGCCCTTTTCCCTGAGGGGACTCAGGGCGGCTTACAATTCACGGGAGGGAGAGTGCAAGACAAAACATAAAACAATACGTGAGTAAAAAAAATTAAAACAATAAAACGCAACTTTCATTCAACATTCGGGTGGGGCGGATTAGAATTTTTATCCCCAGGCCTGACGGGATAGCCAGATCTTAAGGGCTGTGCGGAAGGTCTGGACGGTGGTGAGGGTGCGAATCTCCACGGGGAGATCGTTCCAAAGGGTCGGAGCTGCTACTGAGAAGGCTCTCCTCCGTGTAGTCGCCAGTCGGCACTGACTGGCGGATGGAACTCGGAGGAGGCCTAATCTGTGCGATCTAATAGGTCGAAGGGAGGTAATTGGCAGGAGGCGGTCTCTCAAGTACTCAGATCCACTACCATGAAGGGCTTTATGGGAGAGGCCTGCATCAAAGAAGGGATTGTCTATTCCAGGGGTCTCCAACCTTGGCAACTTTGCCACTTGCGGACTTCACCTCCCAGAATCCCATGCTGGTTGAGGAACTGCGCAGCGCTGAGGACTGTGGCATTTTCATTTGCTATTATAGATCCCCTCCTGAGCATTGAGGTCAATGAAATGCTCTCCAAGATCCATTCTTGATCTGTGATTCACTAAGGTTCTCCTTGCAAGAGTTGGGGCAGTTTATATGCCCTGATTGACTGAGAAGATCTTTTTTTGTGATGATCCGTTTTGATGATCAATCAAGATGTCTACGCATTGCCTCTCCATGCATACTTAACCCTGCATTATCTTGTCTTGCCACCTTACTATGACTGAAAACACACATTTAAGGTTCCACGACAAAATCGCGGAGGACAAAATCGCGCTCGACGAAAGCGCGCATTTGACGTCATCACAGCGCAACGAAAACATCGCGCTGTGATGGAAAAATGTAAAAAAAAAGCGAAAACCTTACCCTAACCCCCCCAAACCTAACCCTAAACCTAACCCTAAACCTAACCCTTAACCTAACCCTAAACCTAACCCTAAACCTAACCCTTAACCTAACGAAAAACCTAACGCTAACCCTTAACCTAACGCTAAACGTAACGCTAATGCTCTAAACCTAACCCTAACCCTTAACCTAACCCTAACCCTAACCCTTAACCTAACCCTTACCTTTATGTGAATTGGCTTGCTGTAATTTAATTTTTATTTCAATTTTTCGATCTTTTTCATCGCGTTGTGATGACGTCACATACGCGATTTCGTCGACCGCGCTTTTGTGGAACGCGGTTTTGATGGGTCACGACATTTAATCGTAAGTGCCATGTTATTTCAATATAAAGGGGGATGATCGGTTTTGATACCATTCAAAAGTACCGTTGGTTCATTTTTCAAAGAACAAGAGCGCGGAACAAACCGACCTACACAGAGACAACCCAACATTTTTGCTTGCTGTTCATTTTACAGAATGATTAAAGCCCCATAAATACCAAAACCTTTGAAAATGATTTTATCTAGCTCCAGTGCTCATATTTCGGAAGGGAGTAACTCAGATATGAAATATCAATTTGACCTCGGCAGATAGACAGAACTTCTACATTTTGAAATAGAAGATCTCTAATTTGATATGTCAGGCACGGAAAGGAAACTCAAAAGGCTGGTGGGCGTCCAGAGGTCATCTGCAAATGTGATTCCTAAACGCCTCCAAAAAAAGAGTTTCATCTTGAGGTACAGATTAACAGAGTTGGAAGGGACCTTGTAGGTCATCCAGTCCAACCCCCCCTATCCAAGCAGACCCTACACCATTTCTGACGGATGGCAATCCAGTCTCTTCTTGAAAGCTTCCAGGGATGAAGCTCCCACAACTTCTGGAGGCAACTTCTGTTCCATTGGTTGGTTGTTCCCACTGTCAGAATATTTCCACTTATTTTCAGGTTGAATCTCTCCTTGTTCAGTTTCCATCCATTATTCTTTGTCTGGCCTTCAGGGGCTTTGGAAAATAGCTTGACTCCCTCCTCTCTGTGGCAGTTCCTCAGATATTGGAAGACTGCTATCATGTCTCCCCTGGTCCTTCTCTTCACTTAGACTAGCCATGCCCAGTTCCTGCAACCGTTCATCGTATGTTTTAGCGCCCAGTCCTCTCATCATCCTGGTTGCTTCTTCTCTGGAGTCTTTCTAGAGTCTCAACATATTTTTATAGTGTGGTGACCAAAACTGGATGCAGTATTCTAGGTGTGGTCTTACTAAGGCTTTATAGAGTGGTCTTAGTACCTCCCTTGATCTTCATTGCACCCCTCTATTAATGCAATTTAGGATTGCATTGGCAAGATACTTCTAAGAGTTGGAAACCTGCAGTGAACAAGAGGTTAAACTTTCCTCTGTTGCTTTTCCTTTTCCCCTCTCTCATCCTGTTACTCCCCACCCTGCTGTTCACTCATAACTTCCAGCACACTGATAGCGTGTGTGACCATGTTTCTCTCTCCAGTGGCAGGTCAGAAAACCCACTGGTGTTTCGCAGCAACTTGAGGATGGCGTTTGCTGAATAGGTCAGACGTGATGTCTCCTTCTCTTCCTGGATTTCCCTCTGAATCGGAGACCATTGGCAGATGTTGCTGGACCATGAGGAGGTTGGGGTCCCTCGGACTGATTTGGTTGTGCTGCGTCCTTCCGGAAAGCCTTGGCATCACCAGACAATATTACATCGGAGCAGTGGAGAAGGAATGGAACTATAGGCCCGACAGACAGAATGGGTAATAATACAGCAACAACATATTATCTACTAAAGGTTTGGGAATGTAGTTTCAGTACAGTTGGGAGGTCTTCCTGAACTTGGGAACATCAGCTCTCATCTTTACTAACCAACTCTACCTGTGTCAAAAGATTGTGGTTCTAATTAAAGATTATATGGAGAGATTATGGTTTTATGCTATGGCATTACCAATAATTTTATACTTCTGTGCATTTCTAGCCTTAATTTTCACCACTTGGTCCCTCCTGTTTGGCTTCTGCCTCTAATCTCTTTAAGCCCTGCTTTGACGCCTCTCTGCTGGATGTGCCAAGAGTGAAGGGAAAGGAAACATTTCTTTAATGAAGGGTTGGCAGCCTGGTTGGCATTGTGTTAAGCAAGTCACAACCTTGAAGCCTTTCTAGAGACCAGCCACAGTTGGTGAGGAACCCACTTGGTCAAGTAGAGTGGAAAGGGATGAAAGGAGCAGGGTGATTTATGGGAGAAGCTCTCCTTCAAGTGGATGCTATTCGGTTTTACTTTTAGGAAAGGCAGCGGAGTACAAGGATAGGTGGACTTTTGGGATGGAGGAGGACCTGGGTTTTATCCCTGACATTTCCAATGAAAATAGCTCAGCAGGGGATGGGGGAAATGCCAACTGGAGACACCAAGAATCTGCTAATACGATAATTTATATGATGCCCCCAAGATGTTCCTATGTGAGTAATAGTCCTATAAGCCCAATGGACACCTAGATCAGGGATCAGCAGCCTTAAAGGCTCGAAGAGCCACTTGGACCCATTTCCCACAGAAAAGAAAACACTGGGAGCCACAAAAACCTTCCCGTGCCTGACTATTTCCTAAGCAGCCACAAAACTATTATAGGAAGTTGAATTAAACGTTCTGTTTTCTTCTGAACCTTTTCTTTTCTTGGATTTAACCATGGTTAAATCCAGGTTTTTTTTTTGAGAAGCTCAATAAATCATGTGCCAGCGGGTGGCGCACATTGGCAGTTATGACGCATATTTTGAGCCGCAGCACAGGGGAGGAAAGAGCCACATGCGGCTTCAGAGCTGCGGGTTGCTGACCCCCTGGCCTTGTTGATGAAGAAGAAACCATGCTGATCTAGATGAACCGGTGTGCTTCTTTTGTGGGACTTCCTTGAGGTCCCATCTCATAATGTTGTGGTCAAGAGGGGGAAAAACAGAATAGGTTTTTTTTCCCCAATTCAATTCAGAATATATCTGGAAGGGACCTTGGAGGTAGATACAGAATAACAGAGTTGGAAGGGATCTTGGAGGTCTTCTAGTTCATCCCCCTGCTCAAGCAGGAGAACCTATACCATTTCAGACAAGTGGCTGTCCAGTCTCCTTAAAAATGTCCAGGGATGGACACCTTCCTATTAGATCTCATCGATTAGGCCTCCTCCGAGTTCCATCTGCCGGTCAATGCCGACTGGCAACTACGCGGAGGAGAGCCTTCTCGGTGGTAGCTCCGACCCTATGGAACGATCTCCCCGTGGAGATTCGTACCCTCACCACCCTCCAGACCTTCCGCACAGCCCTTAGAATCTGGCTATCCCGTCAGGCCTGGGGCTAAGACTGTAACCCGCCCGAATGGTATGAATGTTGTGTTTTTTAATTATGTATTGTCTTATATGTTAAAAAGTTTGTCTCCCCCTCCCCCTTGGATTGTGAGCCGCCCTGAGTCCCCCCAGGGAAAAGGGCGGCATATAAATAAACTTCTATCTATCTATCTATCTTCTGAGGGCAAGTTGTTCCACTGGCCAATTATTCTCACTGTTAGAAAGTTTCCCCTTAATTCCAGATTGCTTCTCTCCTTGATTAGTTTCCATCCGTTGCTTTTTTTTTTTTGTCCTGCTCTCTAATTTAATTTAAGCTAATTTAAGTTGACCAGCTCCTCCTTTTATCCTCACAATAACAGCGTGGGGTTGTTTGCATGAATGGTTCAAAAATCACCCAATACATTTTGGAGTTGAAGAAGGATTTAAACCTAGGTCTCAACAGAAGAGAATACTTGTAGCTCAAGGTTGAACTGTGGAATTCTTCATGTATTCAGAGTTTGGTTATTTGCTTGCAGATGTTTCATTGGCCAACGAGGTAAGAGTTTCAGGTCACCAAGGACTCCACAAAGTGAATTCCCCACCTTGTTGTTCCAGCTTTGGTTCTTGTACTATGCTCCCTTCAGCTTCTCAATTTCCATTCTGCATGAGAATAAAACACAGGCCATTGCTTCTAAGATGTCTCATCCTCTTCAATGTTTAGTGCAGTGTTGGGAAAAAAAAGAAGTAGTGTATGATTAAAACTAATTAATTAATACCCCAAGAATAGCCATCCTAAAAATAACAACAAGTTTTCTAATTTTGCTACACTGTGCATATTTTTATTTGTTGTTTTTTTTGAATACAGTAATGTGTTACATAATGGGACGCGGTGGCTCAGTGGCTAAGACGCTGAGCTTGTCAACCAGAAAGGTCGGCAGTTCAGCGGTTCGAATCCCTAGCGCCGCATAACAGAGTGAGCTCCTGTGACTTGTCCCAGCTTCTGCCAACCTAGCAGTTCGAAAGCGTGTAAAAATGCAAATAGAAAAATAGGGACCACCTTTGGTGGGAAGGTAACAGCCTTCCACGCGTCTTTGGCATTTAGTCATGCCGGTCACATGACCACAGAGACGTCTTCGGATAGCTCTAGCTCTTCGGGTTTGAAATGGAGATGAGCACCGCCCCCTAGAGTCAGGAGACCTTCTCACCAAAGGTGGTCCCTATTTTTTCTACTTGTATTTTTACATGCATTCGAACTGCTAGGTTAGCAGAAGCTGGGACAAGTCACGGGAGCTCACTCCATCACTAGGGATTCGAACCGCCGAACTGCCAATCTTTCTGATCGACAACCTCAGCCTCTTAGGCACTGAGCCACCTGGAACAGACAGTATGCTCATACAAATAAATTAGGTTTTGCAATTTGTCAGATGGAAAACTTTACATTCTGTCCAAAAGTTTCCAGAAAGATGAGATGCAGATGTGACTACACTAAATCCAGGCTATTGATTTAGGGACCATGACAGAAAATGTGGCTGCTAGATTTACAGGTTTCAAATGTCTGTAAAGAAATGACTTCTTTCTTTCCTCTGTCTTTTTCTTTTTTTCTAACAAGCATTCATATATGCACACCTTCCCTAGGGCCATATCTGCTTACAAATGCAAAGAAATGTATGGACATTATCAGTCACCCAGCTCAGGGTTGTCTCAAAGGTGCTTTTTTCAAGAGGCAACTGGACTTTCTGCTTTTTCTTTGAAGACATTTTGCTTCTCATCCAAGAAGCTTCTTTTCTGATCGAGGAAACTTCTTCAGCAGAAGCTGAAGAAGCTTCTTGGATGAGAAGCAAAATGTCTTCAAAGGAAAACCAGAAAGTCCTGTTGCCTCTTGAAAAAAAAACACCTCTGTTAAAAATGTAAGATATTTATTTTTGGTGACAAAACAATTTTTCATCTGATTTTAAAAAAACTTTAAAACATTTAAGCTACAAACCAGGAAGAAAATCCAGTAGTCCGCTTGCCTTTTGGAAAAGCATCTTTGGGACAAAATGCAAAGAAGGTAGCTAGAAAAGTGGAGCGAAGTCCAGAATTAAGGGACAAGAGTTCATGGAGAGAAGGGGTGAGAAATCAACCTATCAAAGGGATAATACTTTTGGACCAAGTGAAATACTACCAAAACAATGAAGACGTTTTATGTATTGTGTTGAACTACGACAACAACCAAGCATTTTGTGGCAGGGTAGAAAAGAGATAGCATGACACAGCTTCAGTAAAACAGAAAGGATCATTTAAGAATAGAGATAATTTTATGGCATCGCTACAACCGATGCGCCCTCTTCCCCCCCAAAAAAATTGGGCAACTGTTCTTCACCTGATTGTCCCCAAACTACCAAGGACCTCTTCCTACAGGGAGCACTCGCTTATTCTCCTCCTCAAAGGTCACTGTTCCATTTCCTAGCCAGCAAAGACCAACTTGTGATCGGGAACTTGTACACAATGGCATGGAGTGTTATTTCTGGCCTCGATATGGAATTTTGCAGATCGACGATAAGAAATCGTGCCAAATGCTCCAATCACTCAAAATGTTCTGGCTTTTTTTTTTCTTTTTTTTTTGCTGGTTGGCTTTTTCTGATATGACTACTATTTTGACTTTGGAAAGTGTTAGCGGGAGCTTTGGAATCTTTCTTTCTTTCTTTCCTTCTTTCTTTCCTTCTTTCTTTCCTTCTTTCTTTCCTTCTTTCTTTCCTTCTTTCTTTCCTTCTTTCTTCATTCCTTCCTTCTTGCCTTCCTTCTTTCCTTCCTTCCTTCCTTCTTTCTTCCTTCCTTCTTGCCTTCCTTCTTTCTTCTTCTTCTTCTTCTTCTTCTTCTTCTTCT